AGTTCATGATGAACATGAACCATGCTGGTCATTGCAGCAAAAATTCTTACTTGTCTGTAGTGACCACTGGTGACATCATGATGGGTGGTTTTCATTGCGACCTCCCTGCTCTTGTCATCTTGTATGGGCATGGTACGACTGACATTGTGCTATGCGGTGCCAGTAAACCTCCCTACTCATCTATTGGCCCGTGCCCCTGCGTGGTCATGATATCTAGCATCGATCTCCCTTCTCCTTTGGCAGTGTTCACCGCTCTTGTGGCCTTGCTACGAGTACTATCATGCTCGCTTGTCGCACGCAACCTGCCTACTCTCTGAATCACCGCCTGTGGCCGCATCAAGTCTTCCTACTCCTTCAGTTCAATAACCTTGTGCGGTCATGCTACGAGCAACATCATACTTTTTGGTGGCATCAAGCCTTCCTACTCCCCTTGTAGTGTTCACTACCCTTGCATAGTCATGAGTTCTTGTGGCCGCGGCCAAAAGCGCACGACACTTGCTGCATGGGCCACCATCCTGATGTGGAATTCCTGATGTTCATCAACTGTGCTTTTAAACCATGAGGCGGAGGGGCGGGGTGGTGGCCGGTCAACGTTGACTCTTCGATAGGTGTTTGATGATTTTTTGCGGGGGGTCGGATTCTCAGGTCTTGATGGGTCAGGAATATTGTTTCAATGACGACCATGGGAGGACATCTGCTCATGAATTCAAATGTTCTGTCATGGGTTACTTGACGCACTAGCGCGTACTCCACGCATTAAGTTTGGTGGGTCATGCTTGGAATATCAAACCTTCCGTACTCACCGTACTCCTTCCATATCCGTTCTTGGTATGTATTCACCATTACCATTGCATGGGCATGTTGATATTCGTGACGAATGTTAGTGTAAGTGTCGGTGATCTTTTTGTATGTGAAGGCGCAGCCAATCGAGCTCGAGCCTATGGCCTGCAACAAGTGTCGCCAGGGAAACCGTTCCCCTGGTGACACGTGGTGCCTTGGTTGCCGGGCGCTAGAGGTAGCGCAATTGGAGGCAGGCCGTGGCCGTGCCAGCCTGCGCGGGACCTTGCTGAAGAGATCCTGCTCAGTGCAACCAGGCACATCAAACGCCTTGGAGAGTTGGGGCCTGGGCTTCTGACTGAGCCGGCGCGGTACGCGCTTTCTTTTCGGCTAGGAGCCCCCCGGCTGTTGCTGCTCCGGTCCGTGCCAGTCCTGCGGGGCCGGCTGGATTGGAGGAGCGACGTGCCGAGGAGGCGAGCGGCCCAACTCCTGATTCTGTGGCGCCTGTGGCCGCCACCGTCGGAGAGGCTGGAGCCCGAGGTCGCGAAGGAGCACCGGCTTTGGAAGAGGACGAGTATACGTACGAGTCCTTTTCTGAGGAGGTAAAGGTTGAGGAGGCAGGACCGGATTTGGGTACCGCTACTACTTGTAAGAGCTCGGCGCCGCCTCCTGAACCCGCTGTTCGCCCTCCTGATCTGGTCTTGCGCGAGGCTGCCAGGAAACGTGAGCTGGAGGTGGAACAGGTGAGGACAAGACACCGCAGCGGCCGCAAGCACCAGCAAGTGACTCGGAAGCCGGAGGGGGCTCTGAGTCACCGGCGCCTGTCCCACGAGGACCTTGATTTCCTGAGGAGGCAACATTGGCGTGACCGTCTGGCGTGATGTCAGGCGAAAGTGCCCCGTATGAAGAAGAGGCCGACGGTGCAGAAAGAGAAGGAGAGGAAGCTGTGGAGGAGGAAGCTGGAAAGCCTGGGATTGCCTTTCTCTTGGGAGAGTCCAGGATGCTGGGCTTCGCTCGAGCTAGGATGGTGCGGTCATCGAGGCGCTCTTAGAGCCCTGTTGCGGCTTTGGGCATTTCCGCCAGGCTGGGCGAGCGGCTGTACTCGCTACCTGGGCACGAACGACAGAGACCCCCCGGATCGACATCGAGAACTTGGTCGACTGTTCAACGTTCGGGGAGGCCGTGACCGGAAGGAGGTTGTGCAAGGTGCACGCCGAGGAGGCCGTGGTCCACGTGGACGATCTGATAGTGTACCCTCCTCTCGCGTACGAGGGGGCCCTGTGTACAACTCACGGCGTGAGGGCTCTCAAGGAGTTCAATGCGGCCTTCAAGGCCAGGCCCCGGTTGTAAAGTTTGGAGCCTGAATGGCTTGAAGTGGGGTGACGTTTCTTTTGACACCGAGCTTGTACAGGATGCTTGGTACTTCTGCGCGGTGTGCGCCATAAACTGGCTTGGGGGGTTTGGAGCTTTCCCTAAGTCGCCGTGCCCTGAGAGAAAGGCTGGTGGCAGTTTTGAAGTTGAGAGGCTCCTTAAGCTTGAGATTCAATCCTTTTTGTTTAGGGATCCTTTTTCTTCAGGAAGGGTTTTGCCCTCTGACCTGATGCGTGAGGTTGACGCTGCAGTGCTAGATTATTCGGGTGAAGAAGTCTTGCCGATGAGGCCGTTGACGGTGGATCAGATGGAGCCAGCATTGCCTCCTGCTGGCGCAGGAGGTTGAGTCTCGGCAATTGATTTAGTTGACTCGGGAACCAGGGTGTTTCTTTCTGACCCCTCTTTGTCATTTTTGCCAATGGAAGATGTTGGGGAGGGACTGTGCCAGGCTGCAGTTCATGTAGAGGCTGGTGCTTCCGCTTCCGTGGCTAGGCTTTTGGTTGATAGAAGGGTTTGCAAGCCGATTCGAAGGTGCGAAGTTGGCGCCTTCCCTCATCCTCAACGGTTTATTTGGCGTGCCGAAACCTAAATGTCTAGGTGATGGCAGACCCATCCTCAGGACTATTATCAACTTGATTCCGAGCAACCGCATTCAGAAAGTCATTGGAGGCCATATCAACTGCCTCCCTTCAATCACGAAGTGGCAGTCTATCATCTTGGGTGATGGCGAGAATTTGCTTGCCTACCAGTGCGACATGGCTTGTGCCTTCTACCTTTTTGCTCTGCCTGATGTGTGGCTTCCTTGGTTCTGTTTAAACTTTGACCTGTCGGGTCGCGACCTGGGGCTTCCAACTGATGACCGGTACACCATCGCCTGCTGTACTTTGCCTATGGGTTGGAAATCTGCTGTGGGTATATGCAATGCCTCAGCCGAAGAGTGTTGTTGGAATCTAGACTACCTGAGATGCGCGGAGTGTTGGCGTCGTGGTGGCGAGCACGGCTGGTGGCAGGTCTATCTTGATAACTTCATTTCATGCGAAGTTGTGGGTTCCAAAAATTCCCCTCATGATGGAAAAGTGTTCTTTGATCAAGCACACACTGGATGGGAAAGTTTCGGCATTCTTTGTGCCATGGACAAGGATGTGGAAGCCGCGGAAGTAGCTCATGAGCTGGGAGCTGAGATTGATGGAGAGCTTGGCAAAGTTAGTGGTGGAACCGCCCGACTTTGGAAAACGGCAGTGTGCTCACTGGCTGTCGCACTTCTGTCAAAAAGCCTAACTCCCAAGAGGGTTCAGGTTTTAGGGGGCCGACGGGCATTCATCGCCCAATTCCGAAGGCCTCTGTTTGCCGTCTTTTCTGACCTATGGCGGGCTGCCATACCTGGCTGCTCCCTGGCTGCCCGGCGGCGTGCCGGGGTGGAGCTGGTTATGGCCGTAATGTTGAGCCCATTGGCGTCCTGCAACCTCCGGAAAAGATTGCACTCAGAAGTCGTGGCCACTGACGCTTCTGAACGAGGTGGAGCAGTTTGCGTGTCTAAAGGGCTCAGCTGGTCTGGTAAATCCTACTGCTCGTTACTTCGAAAACGAGGAGGCCCGGTGGAATCAAACCTGTTGGTCATATCTCTGTTTAATGGCATTGGTGGCGCTTTCAGAGCTTATGACTTGTTGGGTGTTTGGGTGTCCATGCCCTGGGGCTTGTGGCAGTGGAATGCCAAGCCTGCCAATCGGGTGACGCTCCGAGCATGGCCAGGAGCTCTTGTGGTGGAAGACGTCAATGACGTGGGCGAGGCTATGATTTTAAACTGGTTGATGCTCCACCCCATGGTGAATGAGGTCCATGTTTGGGGGGGATTCCCCTGTGTTCACCTTTCGTCTGCTCGTGCGGGACGGAAAAATTTGGAGGGGCCAGGGTCCAATTTGTTTTGGAAGTTGGTTGAAGTTATCCAACTGGTCCGTCAAACTTTCTCGGCAGTGGCCTCTGTGAAGTGAGTCGTGGAGAACGTGGCCTTGATGGACCCTGAAGCCCGTGACCAAATCAGTTCTGTTCTGCAAGTCCTCCCTTTACGGCTCGACCCCGCGGATGTCCTTCCTTACTCACGTCCTCGTCTTGCTTGGATTTCTGAGGAGCCAACCGTGACTGAAGGGTGCCTCCTGTCTCAGCGAAAGGGGTTTGTAGAAGCAACGATGAGTGCTCAGGGTGTGTCGGAATCTCAGTGGATTCAGCCTGGCTGGAGCAGGGTTGACCCCTCATGTCCGCTGCCAACCTTCATGAAATCCATAAAGAGAGACCGACCGCCTCCGGTGCCAGCTGGACTTCACCGCACGCCGTTGGATGCCCAAAACAGGTGGGCGGATGATGAGTTTCGATTTCCTCCATACCAGTACAAAGAGCAGTTCCTGGTCTCGGATGGCTCACAACTTCGCTATGTTAGCTCAGGAGAACGTGAAATCCTCATGGGCTTTGGGCCCCAGCACACCCGCTTTTGTCTTCCAGCATCCGAAATAAAGAAAAGCACTGCGCGCTATGAAGATGAGCGCCTGAGCTTAGTTGGAGACAGCTTCAGTATGCTGTCATTTGGCTGGGTTGCTGGCCAGCTGTGCAGGGCAATCAGACCACTGCCAGCGGTACAAGAAATCGTCGACCTCATGGGCCGAGCACCAGGAGCCTGCGCTCGTGCGGGCGCTTCCGCCCCGATGGGGCGATGGAAGCAGTATGGATTTAATGATGTCGAGGACTCCGAGGAAGCGTCGCAGCTCCTTGTTAATAAGCTCGCGTTGGGAGCCAACCACACGGGATCTGATGTCCGAATCACTACGGGCGAACTCATGACCCCCTCAAAGTCAGTTCGGCAAAGTGTAGAAGCAATCTGGTGGCGCTGGAAACAGGTCTTCGCCAAAAAGTGGGAATTTCCGCATCAGATCAATGCTCTTGAGATGCGTGCGCTCCTTCTTGGACTCCAGTGGAGATCGCAGAGGCCGGGTCATTTAGGTAAAAGGGTTGTTCACCTCGTGGATAGCTTTGCTATTCTGGGAATTGTCTGCAAAGGGCGAACTAGTTCGCTCATGCTCCGTGCCCTTTCCCGCCAAATCGCTGCTCATGTGCTGGCCATGGGGCTTACAGTCATCTTAGTCATGTGGACAGCTCTGAGAACCCGGCTGATGAAGGTAGTCGAGAGTGATGAAAAGGCTTAACAGCAATGCTGAGCGTGCCGCTTCCCGACGTGGTGTCAGCTTGTGGAATGCGACTATAAAGCTTGCAACCCTCCTGAGATATCAAGCAGCTGTCCGACTCGTCCTTCCATTTTTGGAATTTCAAGAAGTTGGTGGGGCCTTGTCTGACTGGAATGAGCTGGCTTGGGGCCAGGGGCTGCCTTTGGGTACCATCGGCGATGCCCTCTCGGGGATGCAACATCTCTGGCCCCAGTGCCGGAGAAAAATTGAGCCCCCATGCCGCGCCCCACCCCTTCCTGCTCGCCTTGCTTCTGCCTTCTTGGCGTGGTGTGTTTTTCATGACCAGCTTGCGCTAGGAGTGCTTGTTGGCCTTGGCTTTCACTGTCTTCTTCGTACTCCAAGATATTAACATGGCGCCTAAAGCTGCCATATTGAATCTGAAACTTACCAAGTCCGGTCGCCGCGTCGGAGCCTTCGAAGCCGTCACTGTGTCTGACCAAGGAGTTCTTGCGGCTCTGCAGACTCTGTTGCAAATACGTGAGTCACAGCGGATGCCGGGGCTCCTCTGGCAGCATAGCCCTCAGATGTTTCGCTCCGCTTTCCGCAACTTGTGCAAGACCTTTCATGTAGATTCCTTGAGTTTTTCAGCCGTACTCGCTGCGCAGAGGAGGAGGAACCTTCCTGCTGCAACATGGCGTTTCACTTGAACAGATTTTGTTGCGTGGACGCTGGAAGTCAGTCAACTGCCCGTGTTTACCTGCAAGATGGTTTGGCCACTCTGGCTTCCATCAAATGCACACCTCAAACCGAAGCTCTGGTCGCACGTTTCAATTCCTCTTTTACAGCTCCGCCGTGATAGAGGGACGTGGAATAGACTCCCGTGTGTAGTGTCTGACGCAAATGCGTGGTCACCCTCAGTCTGGCCAGTAAAGAAGTGGGCCCTGGCTTCGAACCAGATTGTTCCCAGTGCATGCCTCTTGCACTGGACGCTTGCAGAAGTGCCCCTTCTCAATTGTGTGGGTCATACATATGGCCGGCCATTCTGATGGGTGTTCTGGAAACCAGTCCCAGAAAAGTACGTCCGTCGGACTGCGACCAAAAGGAGTGAGATGCGAACACTTCAATTATCTTTCTGCTGATTGCATCAAACCTCCCTACTCTTGCTGAAGTGTTCACCGCCCTGGCATGCTCCTGGTACTATGGCGTCGTTTCGTGTGGTCGTCTTTGACTTCTCTACCCTCCCTGAAGTTGTTACTAAGGTCATGAACATGATGCTTTGGGTTTCATCAAAAAGTGCTGAGTTCATGATAAACATGAACCATGCTGGTCATTGCAGCAAAAATTCTTACTTCTCTGTAGTGACCACTGGTGACATCATGATGGGTGGTTTTCATTGCGACCTCCCTGCTCACGACTGACATCGTGCTATGCGGTGCCAGTAAACCTCCCGACTCATCTATTGGCCCGTGCCCCTGCGTGGTCTTGATATCTAGCATCGACCTCCCTTCTCCTCTGGCAGTGCTCACCGCCCTTGTGGCCTTGCTACGAGTAATATCATGCTCGCGTGTCGCACGCAACCTGCCTACTCTCTGAATCACCGCCTGTGGCCGCATCAAGTCTGCCTACTCCTTCAGTTCAATAACCTTGTGTGGTCATGGTACGAGCAACATCATACTTTTTGGTGGCATCAAGCCTTCCTCCTCCCCTTGCAGTGTTCACTACCCTTGCATAGTCATGAGTTCTTGTGGCCGCGGCCAACAGCGCACGACACTTGCTGCATGGGCCACCATCCTGATGTGAAATTCCTGATGTTCATCAACTGTGCTTTTAAACCATGAGGCCGGAGGGGGGGGGTGGCCGGTCAACGTTGATTCTTTCATACTGTTTTGATGATTTGTTGCGGGGGGGTCAGCTGATTCTTTCGCAGGATTCTCAGCATGGTCATGGAACGAAGAACCTGTATGGAACTTCCCTACTTGTTCTGTTGCCTCCACCTTGGTGTATACAAGCAACGCCACCTGGGTAGTTGTGTCAAACTTCCGTACTTCCCTTTGCCGCGTTCGCTGCTCTTGCATGGTCGCAGCCCTCGCATTAGCCTGCTGGTGGTTGCATCAAACCTCCCTAGCGTATCCGCAGAGTTTCTGACCCTTGCAAAACTATTAATCAAGTCGCATCTACCTGGTGGTTGCACCAAACCTTAGGTCCGTCCGTGGTACTGTAGTCACTCCCGTTGCAAGGTCCTGGTGCGGGCAGCCACAAAAATGACTATGCAAGGGGATTTGCTCATGAATTCGGTCATGTGGCTGGCATTTGACCCACACATAGCGGCGCTGCTATGTGTGCTTATGTCAAGTATGTGGCATCGACATGTCAGATGACACCATCTCTGAGTGCGCCTGCACCATATGAGCGCGTGTTGGCTCATTGATGCCAATGTGACCTGTTTTTTTGCTGCCAGCCAATGTGCGAGGCTGGTGTAAATATACTGACCGTAAACGGTTGTTCAAGGACGGAATCTCTTTGGCTTAAATGCGCTGACTCCCCTCATTATATTTGCCTGGACAGGGTACAAGCAACACCATGCTTGGTGGCTACATTGAATCTTGCCTGCGCCCTCTGTAGTGTTGTACTGGGTAGCATTGCATGGTCACATTGTTCAAATCATGCTGCGTGGTGGTTGGGCATGCTCCTGGTACTACGACGTCGTTTCTTGTGGTCGTGTCTAACCTCCCTGCCTCCCTGTCCTGTGATGTTCACTGCCGCACTTTAGTCGCATCGATCGCGCGTCTCCTTGCGGAAGTGCATACTGGGAGGGTCGCATCAGGTGCTGTTTGGAACACCTCTACGTTGGCTTCTGTTTCGTGTCGGGCGCAAAGTGCTTCATCATCCATCATGCACCTTCCAAACTGCGCTCAGGTGTCCGTCCATGCTGTTGCAGGTCCTGCATAACGCCTAGAGCCAAGCATGGCAATGGCTTCAAACCAAAATCAGCACTGGTACAAGATCACAAGATTATACAAGCCTGGTTGCGCACCAGAAAAATGGGTCATGTTGTACTGTTGTACGGAAAGCCGCCACCAGGGCAGATCATATGGTCAAATCGCCATGGATCTGCCAGAAACTTGCAACGCAAGTGCGTGCCATTTTGTTGTGCCGTAGGCCTACCCCCCCGAAAGAAACTCAATTGTGACTGCATTCCTGCCATTGACAGAAGACCCGTGCAATTACTTGCCTGTTTCTGGTTCTGGTGATGAATGCGCTGGAGCACCCGCAGCACAAACTTGTGCACTTTGGGTTCGAGGTCCATAGGCTTCCCGAGGAATGCCCATTGCCGGATGTGTCTCAGCCTACTGGTTCCAGCCTCAACCTCTAATGGACTCTGATGACTCATTCGCACAACTCAAGAACGCTTCCAAGCTTGCATGGCATGAGCCTTGGCTGGAGCCCAGCGTGCTTGTAGGTTGTAGGTCTCTGCAGAACACAGTCTGTCTTGCACTGGCATTTGGTGTTGACTCCAGTCCTTCCTCACCAACGTTGTCCTTTGCGCCGCAGAGCTAGAAGCACAGCGCGAGGAGCATGGCATACTTTAGAGTGCTCAGCACTTGGCACGACGGCTGCGAGGAGCAAGCTCGGCAGGCTGCATGGGAGGCTGAAGGCGGGCCAGCGGAAGAGAAGCGCATCGCCAAGGAGTGGACGCTTAGATGCATGGTGGGTCCACGCTAGACTTACTGTTGGGGCCCAGATTCCGCGGCATTTCGCCCCAAGGGCACTTTCGGCATTCCTCTGTGATTGTATGATATTGTATGTATATTAGTGACAGATACAGGAGTTGCCATGGCTGTAGCCTCCCCAACCTTCCACCATGCGCCGCTCCTGCCACAGGAGCTTCCGGCTTTAGGGCTCAAAGTACCGATGCCAAAGGATTCCCACCCAAAGAAGCAGAAGTATAGGAGGCCTTTGTAAGCCTGGAGTAATCTGTTTAAACACACGCTCTTCCCACCAAAATGCCCGTGGGTACCGCCCGAACGAACAATCATAGTCCCACCTGGTGTTGTCTTGAGAAGGTTCTGCACACAACAAACATGGTCTGACTCCCACCGGGTTGCAGAAATAGCATTGACTTCTGTAAAGTCACTTCACTAGTCACTTCACTAGTTTGGGACATAAATACACATTACTCGGGTGTTTGCACCCTCAAGGGCTCAAGCTTCTGCGATCAAATGCGGCTTCGCGCTTATTCGTGGCCATGAGAGACCATGAGATGCATTGGTCAGCTGAGGCGCGCGACCCTCCGCCTGCGCAGAGACAGCTTCCTTGCACGCAAGGGAGCCAATCGTTGGTTCCGCAGTGCATCTTGGATTATTATGCAGGGCTTGCCCCGAAAGCTCATACCCCTTGGTTTTCATGTTTTATGGCAAGCTTGGATTTCTCCAGCATAGGCAGAGGGCTTTCAAGGAACTAATTACATTGCTCGCGTTCAAGTGCAGGTGTCACTGCATAGCAAGAGTCATCGAGCTGCTCTTCCTGTAAGGGCGCAATCAAAGTCAAAGCACACCGCTTGAACCACATACTCCTGGCACGCTCTTGCACTTGCGGCGGGGGATTGGCGCAGCTTAGGAAGCAGCAAGAAAGTCCTTAAAAGCTGTAGTCACTGTAGTCGCTTCGCACCCACCGCTCCATGTTCGGTTTACCTTTGGGTTGTGCATTAGGACTCTTCATCTAGGGCATCCGAGCCACGCCTGAGGAAGCGATATCTACAGCAGGCCCCGACGATGAGCTGGCGTTGTCAGATCCTTATCTGCCTCATGGCAGCAGAGAGCCCTCCAATTCTGGATTGGCAATGTCAGGCTGTGGTCGTAGGATACGCCAGCGGAGCATCTTTGCAGACCTCTAAGGCTCATCGAGTGATGAGCTTTGCATGCAGCAGCGACTTCCCTGGACGGAGCTTGAGCTTCAACTTGCGCAAGAAGTACTGAAGAGCCTTTTTCAAGCAACAGCGCGGGCAAAAGATGCAAGACTGT